GGGGGGGGGGGGGGGGGGGGTATGGAAGACAGATAGATGGAGAGAGAAGACCGAGGTGTGGAAAGGAAGACGGAGATGTGGAAAGGAAGACAAAGAACTGTACTTCTTCCATTTGCTTGCACTGGGGAGACTGTCTCCAACTGACCCCCCCCCCAAGTCTCCCCATTTATTTGCTGCTGTGATTTTCAAAACTATATAACCATAACATAACAATAATCTGCAACAGCTGTTATTTGCTTCTGAGGCCCACTTCAAAGTGTTGTTGTATAACTTTTCAAACTCTCCTTAACTCAGAACTCAAATGATCTCCTGGAATCTCTGTTCCTAGTAGAGTATACTTTAACATTAACTTGCCAAAGTATCTCAGTACATTACTATTTATTTAAAGCTTGCTGTTTTGCTGTTTTTCTTTTTTCATTCTCCCCAAGAGAATCCCAGACTTAGCTTGCAAAAGCCAGTAACATATCCATCCTCACTCTCAGCCTTATAAACAGATAAGACACAGCAGAAGAGAGTGCCTGTGGAAGGAGGAGGAAGAAAGCAAGTCCAGGCTCAAATACAGTCATGGTTAAAGGTGACAATTAAGGGAAGCCAAAACCAGCAGAGATGATGGAATCGTCATTGTTCCCTTGCCTCAGCCACACCACCAGAAAGAACGGGGTCTTTGTTGACTTCTCCTGATTATGACATGTCCATGGAAGTGCAACCAAAGACAACTTTACAGATGTTTTTAACATCACTTCAGGAAACTCATGGACAGACAGGATTACGATTGCATGCTTAGAGCTCTGTCAGACACTGGCTTAGAGCCTCAGGTAGATGATCTTAAAGTTTTACTCCCTGGCTCAGTTATGCATTTTCCTGGCATTTCCACCAAGGAGACACCCCACAGTTTTTCTCTCCGTTGCTGCCGAATTCGAGAGCCCATTTATTCAGAAATGAGGGGGGATGGAAAAGGTAAAGACATCCTTCAGTCGAGCTGGATCCATGTATTCCAGGAGAAGGCAACGGCAGACCACTTCTCTGCTGTGGCCAACAGGGGTATCCATGGGGAGGTCAAAAAAAGTCAAGATGGAGGCCACAACCTCAATGATTTTTACACAGGTGAAAAGGGGACAAGGCTTTGATTGCGTGGTTGTGGCAACCTTCCTCACTCTTTTGACCCCCCCCTGCAAAGATACCCCTGGTTGCCATGAAAAAGTTGTGCCCCCCCCATTAAGTGTTGTGAGAGGGTAGCATAACAGCGGTGTTAAATAAAAATGGCATGGTTACCAAAATGGTACAGAATCCTCCATGCAGTCACTCAAAGGTACAATCGAGAACTTTTCTTAGGCACAGCCTGCTGGCGGCACTGGGCAGATCTCTGAACTGCTCAGTAGGGTTGGGCCTGCGAAGTATGTGGCTGGGAGACCCCCCAAAAAGTGCTAGGGCTGTAGGGGATGGGGAAGAGGAGGAGAAAGAGGAAGGGGGAGAGATAGGGAAGGAGAAGGAGAAGGAGAAGAAGAAAGGGAAGAAGAGGGGAAGGAGAAGAGGAGGAGGGGAAGGGGAAGAGGAGGAGAGGGGAAAGGGAAGAAGAAGAATGGGAAGGAGAGGGGAAGGAGAGGAGGAGGAGGGGAAGGGGAAAAGGAGGGAAAGGAGATGAAGGGGAAGAGGAGGAGAGGGGAAGGGGAAGAAGAAGAAGAATGGGAAGGAGGGGAAGGAGAAGAGCAGGAGGAGGGCAAGGGGAAAAGGAGGGGAAGGAGATGAAGGGGAAGAGGAGGAGAGGGGAAGGGGAAGAAGAATGGGAAGAAGAGGGGAAGGAGAAGAGCAGGAGGAGGGGAAGGGGAAGAGGAGGGGAAGGAGATGAAGGGGAAGAGGAGGAGAGGGGAAGGTGAAGAAGAGGGGAAGGTGAAGAGCAGGAGGGCGAGGGGAAAAGGAGGGGAAGGAGACGCAGAAGAGGAAGGGAAGGGAAGGGGAATGGGAAGAAGAAGAAGAATGGGAAGAAGAGGGGAAGGAGAAGAGCAGGAGGAGGGGAAGGGGAAAAGGAGGGGAAGGGGAGGAAGAGAGGGGACAATGGCCAATCCCTTCCGCGTGGCCCGATC